AATAAAAATATACTGAAGTGGAAATTAAATACTTGATCATTCAATTTTCAAGAATATTGTTTTTCTGATTAAATATATATATTGACTACTGTTACATGTATACACCATCCAACCGAAATTTTTAAATCTCATAACATGCATTATGTATACAGGGTGAGATAAGAAAACTGCAACCAACTTCAGACTGCTGTCCTTTCTAAGCGACTCGTCCGACAGCTGTTAAAATTATTCCAGTGACAGCTCATTATATTGTTTACAAGCGTACAAAAGCATTTTGGTGAGAATTTTCCAAAAAAAAAAAAAGTTATTCGTGATGGAATTCAAGCGTGATAGTGTGATTTCTTTATATTTGGCTGGAAAACCACAGGTGGCTATCGTTAGAGTACTCCAGCATTTAAATGTGAAAAATTTTTGGTGTCTCGTACCATCGCTCGTTACCGTAATACTGGTAGCGTAGCCCGACGTCATGGAAGAGGGCGGAAGAAAACAGCAACATCAGCCAAAATGGTTTGAAAAGTAAAGAAGCGACTTGATCGAAACCCGGGTAGCAGTAACCGAAAAATGCACGTGAACTGAACATATCGCAATATTTCATTAGGCAAATATTGAAAAATGAGCTCGGGGTAAAGCCAACAATTCCAACAAGTAAAAAAGCTGTAAGTTCGGTCGGGCCGAAATTTTAATACTCTCCACCATTTGGTACAAATTTGGCAATTTCCAAAAAAAAAAAAAAAAAACAAGTAAAATAGTATCAGTCGGTTTTGCCGACAGATGTATACCCCCAGCCTTGAGTTATGAACGTGACAGATTTGGACTATATCGACTACTTCTTGTACTTTATATGAGGTATGTGCACCTTTTCGGAAAATAAAAATATGCGTCAGGTAACAGATATAGCGAACCGAATTATTCCATTTTCACACTTCATCTAATACAGATAAAATACATCATTAAAGTCTGAATAGAATCGGATGTTAATTTTGCGTTTTATGAGCTTCATGGATACTCAGAATTTTGACCTTTTGTGGGGGAGGTACCAGAAGGAGTGGACCGATATACCATATACCATCTTCATACCAGATCTTGAGTTATTAGAAATAATGGGACGTGTGTAATATGAAGAGAACCGGATGTTTATTTCGGATTCTTTGCGCGTTTTGATTGTTCAAAACTTGTGTGGGAGGTACCAGAACAAACGGTTAAGAGCTTGATGAATATTCAAAATTTTGACCTTTTGTGGGGGAGGTACTTGATGGAGTGGACCTATATTATCCATTTTTATTCATGATGGAATTCAAGCGTGATAGTGTGATTTCTTTATATTTGGCTGGAAAACCACAGGTGGCTATCGTTAGAGCACTCCAGCATTTGAATGTGAATAAATCTTTTGTGTCTCGCTCGTTACCGTAATAATGGTAGCGTAGCCCGACGTCAAGGAAGAGGGCGGAAGAAAACAGCAACATCAGCCTAAATGGTTTGAAAAGTAAAAAAGCGACTTGATCGAAACCCGCGTCGCAGTGACCAAAAAATGGCACGTGAGCTGAACATATCGTAATATTCCATTCGGCTAATATTGAAAAATGAGCTCGGGGTAAAGCCAATAATTCCAACAAGTAAAAAAGCAGTAAGTTCGGTCGGGCCGAAATTTTAATACCCCCCACCATTTGGTACAAATTTGGCAATTTCCAAAAAAAAAAAAAGAAAAATAAATAAAATAAAATTCGTGAAAAATTCTGTTAAAATCTTAAAAATACCGAATGCCTATACGATGACCTGGACCTGCATAGGCAACTTTTGTCATAAAATCTGTTTATGATGTAGCTAAAATAATCAAATTACCGCATATAGGAGGTACCGTTATATGGGGGCTATACGAAGACGTGGACCAGCACAGACAATTTTCTAGCATGGGCTGCACTATCCATTACGAACTTCACATGCGAAATTTGAAACAATCCCGGTAAATAATGTCGCTAAAATCATCAAAATACCGAATATCGGGGGTACGGTATATGGGGGCTATACGAAGACGTGGACGTACATGGTCCATTTTCTGTTTTACGCTGCAGTATCTATTACGAATTTTAAATACCAAATTTGAAACTATTCCGGTGAATAATGTCGCTAAAATCATCAAAATACCGAATATCGGGGGGTACCGTTGTATGGGAGCTATACGAAGACGTGGGACTGCATAGACAATTTTCTGTCTTAGGCTGTAGTATCCATTTCGAACTTCAAATGTCAAATTTGAAACAATTCCGTTGAATAATGTCGCTAAAATCATCAAAATACCGAATATCGGGAGGTACCGTTATATGGGGGCTATATGATAACTTGGACCTACATGGCCCATTTACGAACTTAACTGGCAAAATATACATGTGTGCAAAATTTTAGCCTTCTATCTCAATTTGTTCGAAAGATAGCGTGATAACAACAGACAGATAGATGTACTGACACACAGACAGACAGACGGACGTATTAGAATTTTACGCTGATCAAGAATATATATACTTTGTTGGGTTTGACATGAGTATTTCGAGGAGTTACAAACAGAATGACAAAATTAATATACCCTCCATAGTATGGTGGAGGGTATAAAAAGTGCAAAAGCTTACAACGCAACCGAAAGAAAATAGACTGAAAAGAACTAAAGAGGTGCTTCGCTTGGCCGAAAGTTGTGAACAGCCGAATTTGGTTTTCTCCGCTGAGAAAATATTCGTTGTTCAGCAGTTTGTAAACAAACAAAATGATCGTGTTTACTTGCCAAAGAGGTCAGCTGAAAATGTGCACCTTCGGTTGGCCACGAGAACTCAAGCGCCAGCCATGGTGATGGTGTGGGCCGCCATAACAGCCCATGGTCGCTCTCCACTCGTATTAATCAATTGTGGCATCAGAATAAATGCCGAATATTATCGCGAAAATATTCTGCAGGGTGTATTAAAGCGTTTGGCACGCAAACATTTCGGGCGTAGACCTTACACATTCCAACAGCACCATCGCACTCAGCACGCGCTACCCAAGTATGGTTACAATATGAGGTTCCTCGCTTCATTTCGATCGCACAATGGCCACCAAAATCTCCGAATACAATCCATTGGACTATTGTGATTGGAGGATTTTAGAAAGCTATATATGCACTAAAAAAACTGTCGATCGCCTCAAGCAAGCCCTTCGCCGAGATTGGACCAAAATACCGTAGAGCAACATTCAAATAACGTGTGACGGTTTCATTGTTTTTTTTTAAGGCCATAATTCGTGTCAAAAGTGACCAATTGACTTTGTGAATTTTATTATACCTTACAACACTTTGTGTTGGGGGTATTATAAGTTTGATTGGGCCAAAAATTATGTAACACCTCAAAATATTGGTTTCCCACCTAGGAAAGTATATATGGATCTTCCCATCTCGCCGAGATGAGTCGATCTAGCTATATATGTCCGTCCGTCCGACTATCCGTCTGTCCATGTTAATTTGTAATCAAGCTACAGGTCGCAAATATTAACCGATCCTCACGAAATTGAATACGGAGATGGGGTTATAGTCAGAATAGAACCCTATTGTTTTTGGGGATGATCGCAATATATTTTGGAGTTAAAATGGACCAAATGGACCTGATTTTGCAGTTGCTCTATAGGCCACAAATATAAACCAATCGACGCGAAAATTTACATGGATTTAGAGTTTAGGAGTGGGCAGAAACCTACCAAATAGACCCTAACTTTTACGTAAGAAAATAGGAAAATGTCCACTAAACCGCAAATATTTTCAATCCCAGACAAATTATTACTACATTAAAAGATCACTTCTGATCATTACAGTGATGCTAATAGCCAAGAAATCGAATATATAGCAAATTAATTACAATATTTATATTAAATAATTTATCTTATTTATTCTGCTTATAAATCAAGAACCGCTGGGCCGATTTTCAAAATTCCCATCAATTCGGAATTGTCTGAAAACTAAACTGAAAAATGCCAGAAAACGATAAAAATTAAGAAAATCGCGGAAAAATATACCAATAGAAAAGTGAATATATTTTGTCGATTTTTTTTTTTTTCAATTTTTGTCATATTTTTTATCGCATGCGATTTTTTGAATTTGACTTACAATTTTGAATTGTAATTTCTCTAAATTTTTACGCCTCCCGTTTTGAGGGTATTATATGCATATCGCAATTATCGTCCGATCCTCACGAAATATTGCATGAGGTAGGGTTAGTGTAAGAATTAAAGCCTATTGTTCTTAAGATGTATATTTAGGGGTGCAAATGGACTAAAAAATTTAATTATTTTTAATTTTGTAGTCGCTCTATAGGCCACAATTGAAAACTAATCGACACGGAATTTTGCATCAGAAGAGAGTTAAGGACAAGGAAGAAGTCTAGCATTTTGGATGACCATTGGATTATATTTAGCTGTAAAGTAGACCACAACTTTCGTGTGAAATTGTTTTGAATACTTAACAACACTACGGAGTGCGTAAATATTGACTAAAATCTCCGGGTCAAAAAGAATAAGGGTAACCTCTGGGCGGGGCTTTTTGACATTATTTCAAAACCGAAATCTTCCAAAATGGATTTGGGTATAAGGGGGCTTCGAACATATTGTAGTGTTGTAGGGTATCACTTGGTCCGTCCCGCACGTCTATAACCATTGCTTACTTGTTTTCTATTACAAAATTTATAATAGTTCCATCTATCTTGTGAATTCAACAGATTGAAATAATCTAAACGATATAGAACACTTTATACCTACCAAACACTTAGGCAGGGTATTTGAAACCATCAATTGTAGATATGCAGCCAAAGCCAAACCTAACAAAAGATTTGAATATTAAAGCAACGTCAATTTTTTTTAGATTCCCTATGTTCATTTTGTTGGCTAGTGTACTGCTATAATGACTAATAAATTTTCAAGAAGTCAAATAATAGATAAAAATAATGATTTTATTTTGCGCTCGGATAACTTACAAATATAAATAATTGATCTTCCTATTTTAGTTCAAATTTTTAGTCACCAAAATGCAGACCGCACAAGAATATATTTTAGGAATTATATTAATATTCACTGTAATAAAGTTTGGTTTCTCAAGTCCGACATGGTATAGTGGGAATAATGGAAAGCGGTATCTCGTCGAACTTGATACAAAGGTATGATTTCTAGTTAAGTTTTGAAAAAAAATTAAGGAAATACATTGTTTCTTATAGCTAAATTGGCTGCAGGCCAACAGCCAATGTAAACGACGAGGATTACAGCTATTGGAAATCGACAGCAGTGACAAAAATTCACAAATTAAGGATATTTTACGTAAAATATGGGGTAAGGAGGGAAGTTTTAAAATAACAATCAATGGTGTCAAATAAAAACAAGATAAACTAGTTTCAAAAAAATATTCTAAAAATTGACTCTGAATTCTAAAGGCTTATTATTTCAAAACCACTTTCATTTGCAAAAAATTTAAAATTTATAAAAGGTTTATTCGGTTTAAAAAATTTACAAGAAGTTTTACTCGAGATTGAATTTATTTCTTCACCACATTTGAGACCTAACCCCTTTTTTCCCTCACAGGTGGATCCAAAGACATTTGGTTAGGTTATCACGATGGCCTCAGCTCATCAACCGATAGTCATCGTCCCTTTTACTCCTTATCCACGGGTGTACAAATCACCTACAGCGATTGGTACAATCGTGAAAGCTCTACTCCCGAAGAGCAAACGCATTGTGTTCAGCTTTCAAATGACCATAATTTGCAATGGTTAACAGTCGATTGTTCCCGGAAGAATTCATTTATATGTGAAGAATCGAAAAACAACCAAGATTCGGATAATAAACGTAAAACTATATTCGAGGCCAACCGAAAAATTTCCAATGAATTTACAAATTTGCAAAATTCCATGCGACAAGTTAATGAGAATATACGCCATGATACATTTTCGGCATTGAACACCCATTTGAAATCTACCAATGATATAATTACCGATGTAAAGTCATCAATTGAGGCTATCCTGAAAAAGAAACCATTTGTGCTTGCACTATTGGCAGATTCGATTAAGACTTTTAATACTTTGGTGGTGGAAAAGGAAGCAGCCTTGGCTAAGGTGGCCGAGGACACGCAGTCAACCATTTTGAAGTCAAACTCTCAGGGTCAAAATAAAATAAATGAATTAACCTCCAAGTTTGCAAATTCCCTCACCAGCAACACAAATGAAATCAATCGACTATTGGGTTCTTAGTTTTGTTAAAAACTTTAAAATTTGCTTCTATTTTAATTTGTTAAAAATAAAAAATAAATTGAATTTTTTATGTGGCATTTTATTCAAAAAATAATAATTCATTACGAATAAATAAACCTTTTTTTCGGAATATATGTGAAGTATATCAAACCAATTATACAGTTTTTTAACTACCTGTTACGGCTCTAGAATAGTCATAATTTGGAATCAGAAGGAACTAATATTTGGGTGGTATACCCAGCTCTGAATCGATTCCCATTAAATTCAATCATGTCATTTGTACCTCACGGAACAAAATAACATTGCTATAGAGTGCATGATATGATATAGTTAAACGAGTAAAAAAACAGTAAATTCGACTGGGCCAAATTTTGAATACCCTCCACCATATGGAACGAATTTGGATGTTTTCAAAAAATTAAAATCTGTTAAAAATGCTGTTAAAATCATAAAAATACCAAATACAGCCGTTATATTGGGGTCTATACAAAGACGTGGACCTGCATTGACAACTTCTGTCATAAGCCATAACAATATTCAAATGCGTAACTAGAAACCAGTAAAGAAAGTCTTAAAGTCGGTCGGGGTCGACTGTATGATACCCTACACCACTTTGCTAATTTAGTAGAGCTCCGCATAACAATTAAAAGTTTTTATGGGAGAATTCACTCATACACGCTATGATTATAATTGTAATTTAAAGTTCAAAAGACTAAATATGCCGAAGCATTTGTATCTTTTAAATTCGGACTTGTATTACCCATTTTGTGCACAATTAATTTGAAATCGGATAAAGATATATATGGGAGCTATATCCAAAATGGAACCGATCTCGATAAAATTTGGCAAAGATATTTCTGAGCTGTATTTGATATATTTCCTTGAATATCGTTGTTACGGAGTGCATATTACGGCTGTGGGTAACAAATATGACAAATCGGATGAACAATATATATGGGAGCTATAGCTATATCTGAACCGATCTTCACCACATTTGGCATATTAGCTTCTAGAATCAATTCGGTCGTAAGTGCCAAATTTCATCCAATTTGGGCAAATATTAGAAGTTTGGTGCACAATCAAAAGTAAATCGGACGAAGTTATATATGGGAGATATATCCAAATCTGAACAGATCTCGATAAAATTTAGCAAAGGTATTTCTGAGCTGCATTTGATATATTTCCCCAAATATTGTTGTTACAGAGTGCATATTACTGCTGCGGAGGACAAAAATAACAAATCGGACGAACAATATATATTGGAGCTATAGCTATATCTGAACCGATTTCGATTAAATTTTGCATACTTATTTTCAGGCCTAATTTGGTTGCATAGGGTTCGTCCTTGGGCCAAACAAATGTTGTTCGCAAAATTTCATCTCAATCGGATAATAAATGCGACATGCATTTTGTTCACAAGAATACATGGACAGACGGACTGACATCAACTCAGAAAGTGATTCTATGCAGATTATCAAAAGGAACTATGGGTCGTTTCCTTTTGCCTGTTACAAACAAATGCACAAAGAAATAATACCCTGACCGCCTTGTGGTGTAGGGTATAAAAACTGGCGAATAATGTAGCTAAAATCATCAAAATACCGTATATAGGGAGACACCGTTATATCGGGGCTATACGAAGGCCTGAAGCTGCATAGATAATTTTCTGTCGTAGGCTGACCATTTCGGTGAATATGGAACTTCAGGGGAACCGTTGCATGTGGGCTATACGAAATCGTATATATATACATTTATATATATACATTTATATATATACACCTATATATATACATTTATCTTCCAGGGAGTAAAGTGTTTAGAAAGAACTTCTAGTATGGAGTTTTAGACAATTCCACTGAAAAATGTTGCTAAAATCATCAAAATACCGAACACAGCGAGGTATCATTATATGGGGGATATACGATATCGTGGAACGATATAGGCATCCTTGTATTTCCGGGGGGTAAAATACTCAGAAGGATCTCCTTTTGTGGATTTTCAGACAATTTCAGTGATAAATTTGGCCACATTCATCAAAATACCGAATATCGAAGGGTACCGTTACTATATAGTGGACCGATATACAGGGGAGATAAAAAAAACTGCAAAAAGTCAAACGCCATAATTTAATTTTTTTTTTTAATTTTTGAATGAAAGCAAAAAACGTCGGAAATAGCATCAAATTTTAGAATACATTTAGATTTGTTCGAATTGGTCACCTTTAGCACGAATTATGGCCTTAAAACGGCCAATGAAACCGTCACATGCTGCCCGAATGTTGCTCTGCGGTATTTTGGCCCATTTCCAGCGAAGCGCTTGCATGAGGTGATCGACACTTTGGTATTTTTTAGTGCCAAACTTCCTTTCAAAAATACTCCAGACGCAATAGTCCAACGGAATGGTATCCGGAGATTTTGGTGGCCATTGTGCGCTGGAATTGAAGCGAGGAATCTCATTTTGTAACCATTTTTGGGTGGCACGTGGTGAGTCCTGTTGGAATGTCCAAGGTCTGCGGTCAAATTGGTTGCGAGCCCAAGGTTTTGATACACCCTCCGTTGCGGTGTAAGTTCTTGCACTTTTTGGAATTTCAATAGTTTTACCCCGAGCTCATTATTCAATATTTGCCGAATGGAATATTGCGATATGTTCAGCTCATGAGCCATTTTTCGGCCACTGCGACGCGGTTTCAAATTAAGTCGCTTCTTCACTTTCCGAACCATTTCTGCTGGTGTTGCTATTTTCTTCTGTCCAGTGAGCGATGGTACGAGACACAAAAGATTTATTCACATTTAAATGCAGAAGTGCTTTAACAATAGCCACTTGTGGTTTTCCAGCCAAATATAAAGAAATCACACTATCACGCTTGAATACCATCACGAATAACATTTTTTTCTAAAAAATTCTCAACAAAATACTTTTGTACGCTTGTAAACAATATAAAAAGCTCTCACTGGAATAATTTTAACAGCTGTCGGACGAGTGGCTTAGAAATGACAGCAGTCTGAATTTGGAATACATCTTTCCATCCTGGACACCGAGAGCGATCCATATCATTTACCGTTTAGTAATTTTCGAACAATTATAGTACGCAGTTGCAAAACTATTAAAATATCTCAAGACCAGATACCAACAGAGACATCAATGTCAGATTTCAGAATTCCATCCATATCCTAAGACCTAATCCTAAATTTATTACTATACTTTTCGCATAGTTATACTACGCATGTCTAAAACGACCTCATTCTTTCCACACAGATACCAACAGTGACCTCTATAACAAATTTCAGTATTACAGCTCAATCCCTTCGCCCAATACCAAATATAGTTGATTTTACTTGTTTTCGTATAGTTAATGTACGTATGCGAAAAATATGTACATATACTCAGATACGAATATACGGATACTCAGATACGAACAATAACCTTAATATAAAATTTAGGATTCCAACTCTTCAACAACTACTATAATTGGTACTAAATTAGGTAAGGGCGGAAACTTACCTAATTTAGTACCAATTATAGTAAGCATATCCAAAACGAGCTCCATTTACCAACCACTTTAGGATTCTAGCTCTATCCCTTCACCCAATATCAAATTTAGTAGCATTTAGTACTCTTCGAGCTATGAATCTACACATTTTCAAAACAATCACCATGTCTCAACAGTTTATATCAAATTTCAGAATTTCAGTTCTATTCCTTTACCCAATACCAAATTTAGTACTATTTAGTTCTTTTCGTACAATTATAGCACACATTTCCAAAACCACCTCCATATCTCAATCCCAGATACCAATAGAGGTCTCAAAACCAAATTTCGGGATTCCATCTCTATACCTGCACCCAATACCCAATTTAGTACCATTTAGTATTTTTCGTTCAAATATGGGACGCATTACCAAATAACGGTGAAATTCCAACCTCATATGCCAAAAAATATCTAAATATTTAATTGCAGAATTGTATCTCCACCCTATACCAAATATGCTACCATTCTGTATTTTTCTTACAATAAAGTTACGCATATCCGAAACCACCTCCATGTGTCCAGGCTATACATGAACAGCGACCCTAGCGATAAATTTCAGATCTCAAGCATGATCTATGGTACTAGTTAGTACTTTTTGTGTACTTGTAGTACTAAAATCCAAAACCACGTTTTTATCAGGAACCTATCACCACCGTTTACCTTAAAGTTCGAATTTCCAAAAACCCTTTGCTACAGCTTTCCTGCACTCCACACTCATTCCAAACGACTTCCACTCTAGCTCATTCCGTTTGTCCACTACAAAGTATTCGATTTTTAGTGTATGTTACTTCTTTTCGTACCCTATTTGTACGAATTTCCAAAAACCTAGCCTTATCACGCACCCCGCCTACGCACCAACACTGTTTTTGGTGCGAAATTTCAAGACTCTAGCTTCAACCGTATATAGATAGATAGATAAAAATATAATTCGTATTTATTCAGTTGGCACATCAATTATTTAGTTGTGAATCTTTCCTCGCAAATGAAACCTTGTTTCATGGTACACGGGGCATCATTCCATTTTAAGTTATACGGACTGTAAATGTGAACACAGTGTTCCTTTCCTTTATGGTTGTCTGGTTGGCCCTTAGACCAGTTTGTGAATGCCATACGTTTGCCCGTCATTGACCAATAAAATGGGCGATTTTTTTCCTTGGTTACTTCAAGATCTGTGGCCCCAATCCATAAATCCAGTAATGAGTCTAAAAATGTATAAATCAAAAGGAAATTAAATTGAAAAATCGATGGATATTTTTTTGGTTACCTTCAAACGTTTTTCTCAACAACGTATCCAATGCATCGCTTTTGTGAATATTTTCAATTTCCACTAAACGGAGACCACGACGTCTACATTCGCTGGAAGCTTCGTGCCATTCATACTGAAATCAACGTTGACATTTTTGAAAAAAAAAAAAAATTAATAATTGTTTTAAAAAATATTTCTTACCTTCTTGTCCGTTTCAATTAGATACTCATGCCCATCTGGGGATCTCAACCACTCCGGTATTGCAAGACCAAAGTCAATGCAAAATACATTGAAAATGAAAATACCAACGAACAATATAACTTGAAACTTCATATTCACAAAATTTTATGACATCTTTTGAATGGGTGTGCAGGGCTTTTATATACCAATCAGTTTTGCATGATTAGATATGTATTTGATTTCAATGAAAGATTCGCTACTAATTATTATTGTCGAGTAAGGTAATTTACAATTTGTATCCATTTTTAAGATAAAGTAATGTCTGTTCTGACATTGAAAACTTCTCCTTTTTGAGATAAACTTATCAATGTTTTGACATTGAATTTTTGATGCAGAATGTGGAGAGATGGGTGTATCTAAAAAAGTAAGAAGTTAAGGAGTATCAGTCGGTGTTGCCGACAGATGTATGCACCCAGCCCTGCGTAATGATTATTCTAACTGTCGGCGCTTTATTGGGGAAGTTCCGAAGCAGTTGGAAAATATTGTCCAATTCAATTAATTACATATTAATATCAGATTTTTGGCTTAGGGAAATATTTAAATATAGCAAGTTGTATAGATTCGCCGACATGTTTCGCAAGTTATGTCATATAAAAATTTTGGAAATTGAGGTACCAAAACGGATTGGCAGATATCTATTATCTTCCCAACAGATTTTGCGTTGGCAAAAATGTATGGATGTGTGAAGAGAATTGGATGCTTATTTGGCGCTTTATCAGCGTTTTGTTTTTCAAAATTTTGAACCCTTTGTGGGGGAGATAAAAGAAGGAGTCGACCAATATATCCCATTTCACAGCAGATCTTGTGTTAATAGAAATAATGAGATGTGTGAAATATGAAAAGAACCGGATGCTTCTTTTAGGTTTTATAATCGTTGTGGTAAATTGAAACTTTCACCCTTTGTTGGGGAGGTACCAGAATGTATGGTCCGATCCCTACCATCTTTATAACATATCTTGCGGATGCTTCTTTCAGGTTTTATAATCGTTTTGGTAAATCGAAACTTTCACCCTTTGTTGGGGAGGTACCAGAATGTATTTTGTATTTTGACCCTTTGTGGAGGAGATACCAGAAGGAGTGGACCGATATATTCCATCTTCATTGAAGACCTAGAGTTAATAAAAATGTTGTGATGTGTGAATTGATAATCGGACTATTCTCCCCTTCGTGGGAAAGGTACTTGATGGAGTAAACCGACATTGTCCATTTTCGCACCTGACCTAGAACTGATGCAAATATTAGGATTTGCAAGTTTGGAGCAAAATCAGATTATCCTTTCTCTTTCTTTGCAGTAAAATATTTTCTTTGAAAACTTCGCCCTTTCGTGGGGTAGGTACCAGAAGGATAAGATCGATATTGCCCAACTCCGAACACGATTTAAGTTTGATAATAGTATTACCATATACCAAGTTTGGACTAAATCTGATACTCCCTTCGAGAGATGAATACGCTTATTTCAAATGACTTTACTTTCTTAATTTTACCAAGGTTAAAATCTTCAAAATACCAAATATGGCCAGTTACAGGTTTATATAAGGGCTATTGGGGACCGTAGACCTATATGATAAAATATGCTACCACAGAGGACTCTAAACCCGTTAAATACCAAATATAGAAATTGTGGCTAAAATTGTCAAAATAGCAAATATCGGGAGTAGAATAATATGGGGGTTATGAGGGCAAATATAATGCTCTGAAACAGGAAATATAATCCACTCAGATCTCTTAATTCCAGATTTTAAACTATTGCGTTGGAAACTATGGCTCAAATCTTGCAAATACTGAATATTGGGAGGTTCTGCTATTGGAATTGGGAAAAAATATTCTGCCTGATGGGATAGAACCCGTTATGAACATTAAATACAGAATTGTTAGTTATTGCATTAGAACATGTAGCTAAAATCGTCAAAATAGCGAATATTGGGCGGTACAATCATATGGGGGTTATTCGAAAAGATCGACCTGCAGACACAATTTTCTACCATAGGAAATATAATCCATTATGAACTCTTAATTCCGATTTTTTTACTATTGCGTCAGAAACTATGACAAAAATCTTCAAAATACCGAATATAGGGAGGTACTGTTGTATCGGCTATATTGGTAGGGCAGAACCCGTTATGAACACCAAATACTTTATTCAAAATTATTGCGGACCTATAAAGACAGTATATAGCTACAGGGGGTAGAACCCGCTAAGAATTTTAAAGATTTTAAACTATTGCTTTAGAAAGTCTGGCTAAAACGTCAATATATCGTCTATGAGTAGACGCAATTATATGGGGGCTGCATGAAATTGCTGATCAATATAGCTCGAACTTCCTTCTAAAACCCTAAAAAAATAAAATAAATTCTAGAGATTTTCTAAACACATACGGCCGTTTAGATGCAAACTATATGGGGACATTCTGGGGTCTCCTCGTATTCTATACAAAATAGACCTTTTTAGGGATTTTTAAGGTCTTCTATACCAGGAAACCCCTATGTAAACTTATAAACTGATGCCGACTTTTGAAGGTATTCTATATAAAGAACTCCTTGGGATCTCATATATAGAAGACATTTTGTAGAACTTTTATATAAAATTTGTTTTGTGGGTCTTCTATATTGGGGTATTCAGGGTATATTTTATATCCTTTCGGAGTATTACACAGAGTGAAGTGCATCTGAAGGCCTTCTAATCAGCCAAGACCATCTATACCCATAGGCCTTCTGATGGTCTTCTTTGCAAAGAAGATTTTTCAGAGGAATTCTCTATAAAGGAACACTGCTAGAAGTGCACTCTCCAGAGATGACATTCTGTAGGTCTTTTCTAATCAGAAAGCCTTTAGATTTATTTTTTCTTCAGGGGCTATTTCTGCGGAAAAACAAGTCATCAGTTCTTTTCCCCTACAGGTTTCTATTCAGCGATTATATTCGATGGATAAAACCTCCTAGAAGTTTCTATGCAGAAAAGACCTTCTGGTGACTTCTATACGAAGAAGAGGTTTTCTAAAAAGTGAAACGGTGACGTAACGACAATTTTGTGTCAATTAGCAAAAAAGTAACTTTTCCATGTAGGGGTGTATAAAAATGTTCATAAAAAGTAAAAATGTTGGAAAAACTTGAAGGCCGGGCAAAGGAAAAAAGGACAATCAGTTGGTTGTTTCAAAAAAAAAAAAAAATGATGTTTTTCATGAAGTTTTCTAAAAGAAAAACTAGAGAAGACAGTCTAAATGTTTTCTAAGAGGAAACTGATTTCCACAGTTTTTTTTTTTTTTTTGTCAATTTGTTATGCCGGGAAGACCTTTTCTATAATGTTTAATATATCCTCTAAATGGATTTCATATTTTGATAGATTCTATATGAAAATAGAATGCCTTCGGAGGGAATTAAAGGCCATGGAAAATATTCTGGACATCTTCTTCATAGATAAAAATGTAATGACTTCCATAAAGAAATAACTTTTTGATTCTATTGATACGAAATTCCACTAATCGACTTTGTTATGTAGACAAAAGACAACTACATAACTCTAAGTCTCAATTATAGCTGATTTGGCTAGAAATTTTGGCTAACATTACCGAAAAAGGGGGGAGGGGTAACGTTCTATGCGGGGCTATTTCTGATCGTGGATCTGGATCGTGGATTGGTCCATATTGCCTTTCTTATATTAATGAAAAATAACTTATTGAAGTCAACCGACATTTTTTACTTATATTGTTGTCACATGATAGGCGACAACCATGATCCACTCCTATATTAAACATGGCCCATTTTCTGTAATTCAGTAGGCGGAAACCTGCTTATTTTTATTTTTCTCTTTTAAGCTGACTTGACCTACGAGACACGTTTTTCTTATCTTTGTAGCCTATTTTTGTAGACCACACATTTTGTTTACATCTCACACCTATCACACAAACCAAGCTACAATTGTTAATAAACATTGTTATTGTGTTTTTAATTTCTTTTTGTAGATTGTACAGCACGATAAGAAAGAAATACGGCTTCTTATCATGATTGCGCATCTTGTTATCAGACACACAAGTAGCTATATAAGGGGGCCAATATGTGTAGATAGTTAGGAACTTGAGAGATGCAATTTACTATTCACAGTGATTTCATGGAATTTCGCGGAAAATATTTAAAACACAAATAAATTAAACTTCTAATTAAACATATTAAAATGTATCGGCAGGTATCGCCAGCATCTTTTCGCCTCAAGCCTTTGACAATTGTGCAAAGTGTAAAACCATTCTGAATATTACATTAAGAAGTCAGTTTATTTGCATATCTATAACTTATTTGGGTTTTTTAAGAGCAATAAGAAAAATTTCCAAAAAAAAAAAAGAAAAAATCGCCTGCAATTCATGAAATCTCTGTTTGAATTAGTAGAGCGGTCTATATAATTTAATGGTTAAAGATAACTTCATGCAAATGCTGACAGCGACTGAGCCTTAAATTTTTGCCGGAATATTCCAAATAAATGCTTCAATGTTGTCTTGAATTGAAGCGGGCTCGCGGCATAGAAAGCCTCACTAAAATTCGTCTAAAGGTGTCAAACCCTATGACCGGTCCGAACGTGAAAAAAACAAGGCGCCGTCAGATTTGGGCTTTATCGAATAATTCCTTCACCTTATTTTAGACATTTGATAATTATTGAAAATATTGTAATGTACGTGAGGTACCAAATATGGTGGATCGAAATATGCCAAATCATTTAATACTGATAAAACCAGTAAAGAAAGTCTTAATGTCGGGCGGGGAATTTGTGAGAAATAAATGGGGACTTTGTGAGAAATAAATCATGCCAACTATGATATGTAATTTAAAATCCAAAGGAACTAATGTAGGAGAGGAATATCCTCTTCTGAATCGATTTCAACTAAATTTGCCACGACATTTGCGCCTCATCAATTCGTGCTTGTATTAACCGTTTGGTGCACAATTAAGTTGAAATCGGATAAAGATATATATCCAAATCTGAACCGATCTGGATAAAATTTGGCAAAGGTATTTCTGAGCTGTATTTAATATATATCCCCGAAAAACGTTGTTGCCGAGGGCATATTACGGCTGTGGATAACAAATATAAACAAATCGGATGAACAATATATATGAGAGCTATAGCTATATATAAAC